TTGAGCCAAAGAAGTTGCTTTTGTCCTTGCTGAGTTTTTTATGTATTTTGTAATATTGCTGAATTGTTATAACATAAACTATCTATTTATGAGCTACTGTTCAGAGTGATGAATTATTTTCTACATTACCTATAATATGTTTATTAATCAGTTGAAATTAAGTTTTTTGCCAGGCATTCTAAAATTATATATGAATTTATAATGTGAATATATATATAAATTCATCTATCATGTTTGAAGTAAGCTTTGAGAAATTAAAAATATTAGAATAGTCATAAAAATAGTAAGAATGCATTCTCTAAACAAGAAAAGAAGGATGTGCAACTTCCTAAAAATTATGATTTTTAAAATATTAATGACCTTAAAATATATCCTGTTATATAAGTAGCAAAGAATGTGAATTAATCTATGTAACTTAATACTTACATGGAAACAGGTGAGTGTGAATATATTGTTTGTAAATTCTGTTTATTAGTGTGCTTGTAATTGATTTGTAAATTTGTCATTAATAGTAAATTAAACTTTACCAATATTGAGAATGTTTTCTAGATTATGGAATATTTTAAAAGAAGCCTAGATTAATATAACTAGATACAATGAAAAAGAAAACTGTCATCTTGGATTATTTCTACAAAACACTTAAAAATAAGTTATTATAGTATATATTGCAAAGAAAATGTAAGCAGTTTTGATTGTGAATAAACTAAATACAAAAGGGATTATTTTGTAGATTTTTAAATAAGTTATTTCGCAGTGCTTAAAAATAATTTATTTCTGAAATTTGATAAATATATTGCTAGTGCTCACTATTGACTTAAAATGACTTAATCAACATATCTTTATATATACATTTATTTATTTATTTATCATTTTAAATGTTTATCTTTTAGAGAGAGGGAGAGAGAGAGAGAGAGAGAAGGAAAGGGGTTCAAGTTGGGTAGGGGCAGAGAGATAGGAAGACACAGAATCCAAAGCAGGCTCCAGGCAACCATGTGTCAGTGCAAAGCCTGATGCAGGGCTTGAACTAGTGAACTATGAGATCATGACCTGAGCTGAAGTCGAACACTTAACCAACTTAGCCACCCAGGTGCCCAATCAGCATAACTTTAAATGTGGTTAAGGGTTAGCATCACCAAATTGCTTAGCTAAATTATGATGTATTCAAAATTTAAGAAAATTTAAATATTATGAATTTATATTGAGTCTAACCATCAATTCTATCTCAATCTAAAGCAAATATTAATTAAATGATGTTGCATGTCATTGTGTGTTCAGTCATACCAGGGAGTTCAGAGGCCCTTTTTCTTGTCTTCATCAGAGCAGTTACCTGTTTTGCTTCATTAGCTTCTTCCTGTACATTTCATGGAAATTGTCTTCTTAGCCTGGAGCTTTTGAATTAGTTTATAAAGTGGGAATTCATTAAATCATATGGCCTAAACTCTACCAATATTGAGAACATTTGCATTGCCTAAATGGCTTCAGAATCTTTGGGATCAGATTGGTATACAGTCTAATCAACTTAAAGCACATACTTTTGTATTATTAACACTGAATATGAGAGGGGGCAAAGTTGAATACAAGTAAATAATTTATTAAAGTAGATACTTTAACTGAAATTCTGAATCCCTTGGTACCTTATGTTTTATCTATGGAGCAATTCTACCTCATTTTCTTTGTAAGGAAATGGAAAGTTGTGGTGTATACCTTATAGTATATGTATCCGTGTGTGTGTGTGTGTGCACACACACACGTGCACAAATGTAGTATATCATGAAACAGTTTTCTAATTTTGTAGCAGTTGCTGTTGGTACCTGGCCCAAACCCTCTGGTCTTTTACATTCTCACTTAATTTCCAATTGCCACCCACTTTTCTTTGCCTGAGGATTTTCTCTGATAGTCAAACCTTCTTGGCCTCCATCTGGCAGGCTGAGAATGTAGGAGAAATAATGGCCGCTAGGAAGAGCTGTCAAATAATGACTAATGGGTGATGATTTGTTGATACTTCAGCTTTCTCACCTATGAGGTGGCATAATTGTGAAGCACATGTCTATATTTCCCGCCAAGGTGAAACTCCTTTTTCAGTGGTAACTTGCTCAGTAACACACCCTTTGAGTCCTGACCTTTGTCTGCTCCCTTACTGTCTCCATTATCCCTGTTTCCTGGTATCATCTCTCAAGTAAACTACTTGTACGTGAATCTGTGTGTCTGGTTCTGTGCTGGGGGTAAACAATACTAACTCAAATAATTGTTCAGTCAACAAATATTTATGAATAGCTCACTCTGTGAATAAAATAGAAAAAAAAATCCTTCCTCATGGGGTTTACAGTCTAGTAGAGAGACCAAATAAATAAATATATGATTATATCACACATAAGATTATATAAAAAATAAAGACATGCATATATGTGATTATATCAAACATTGATAAGCACTACAGAAAATATCAAGGCAGGGAAAACAACTGTAGAGTGCATTGTAACTTGCAGTAGGGTGGGTAGGGAAGATTTTACTAAGATCATTTGAGCAAAGCCTAGAAGGAGATGAGGTGCATGCCATAAGGCGGAACATGATCCCATTCTAACAAACTTCAAATTATATCTTTTTGTGTTTATTTTTTTATAAGTATGATTTTATTTAAAAATATAATGACAACATAGTATTATATCAAATGGAAAGTAAAAAATCTGACGTATCAAGGAAGGAAGGATCATGGAAGTCAAATATATTGCACCTTGACAGAGACATTTCAGTCTTTGACTGTATCAGAATGGCTCTATCCACGTGACTCCCACAGCAAATATAGTTGTATCAAAAGGTCCTGCTCTGAATAAGATAATGTTGCTTCCCTCAATAGACTAGATTTTAGATGCACAAACTAATACAAAAATGTATTATATTTAATGAAAAGGAAGAGTTCAGAATAATAAGGATTTAATCTATGAAAGTGCAGATCAAAGAAACTTTTAGACAGATGCTAGTACATGGATAGCATATTGAAGATCAATCAGACAAACAAGCCAGGACATTCTGGATTTGAAGAATAGGTCCAGTGCTGTGAAATCATGTGGTAAATGCCTTACCCTTGTTAAGAATTGTAGGTGCACACATTTCCAAGATTATGGGATGCCATACAGGTGAAGTTGAAAGAGGTAGGAGTCAGATCATGAAGGACGTGGGTGCCTGGCTGAGGGGCTTGTGAATAATTGGGCACAGGACACATGGCATCATTAGGAATGTGTTCCAAACATCTTCTGGCTGCAGTGTAGAACAGCAGTTGGAAGGAGCAAGGAAGAGAGTTTGGGCATTTAGTCATAGTGAGTACGATGAAGATTCAGAAGGAGAAGCATGAGGAACCGACAGGATTGCCTGAGTGACAGTGCAGGTGTCTGAATGGTGTTCTTGGTGGATACCCAATGACTCCAGAAAAACTTTTCATTGCTTCACAGTATTAGTACAATCTGCTTCTACTTATTTATCATGTTACTATAGTATTTTATTCCTGGATTGATGGAAATTAAAAGATTGAAGTAAGTTGGATAATACTTGTTGGAAAAGTCTTTTAATTAGTTTTCCAAATGAAATGTTTCCATCTTCTTACATTTTATTCTGTAAATGACCAGGCATTTGTCTAGTTAATGATGCTACAAATAAAATTTACATATATAAGTGAAACAGAACTTTAATTTTGATTGTGTAATAGGTGTACTTTGATCATGTTCCCTTCCTCATGAGAACTCTATACACTAAGACAATCCTGTTTTAAAGGTGAGAAGCTGAGGATCATTTTTCTATTGTTCCATGATTCATAAGTGGTGAGACTGAGTGATTTACTCTCTTTTGTTCTTGATGACAAAACCCTACACCTCTTCCTAACACTAACACAAAAGTTCAAAAGTAAATGAACAGTCTGCTGTTTGTATATATGATTCTAATTAGATAAGGCCTCTGTATTTTTGGTGGGATAGTAAATCATAAGGCCCAGTTGAAACTCTTCAATTTGGGCAAATGATAATTATTTCAAACAGGAATAGTTGGTTGAGACTAAGCCCAGGGATTCTGATGATGCCATTGTGGAAAGGCCAATTATGATCTAAAGGTAAATGAGGGGTGTCTGGGTGGCTCAGTCGGGTAAACATCTGCCTCCCTGATTTCAGCTCAGGTCATGATCTTACAGTTAATGAGTTCAAGCCCCCTCCCATCTTCCTCTGTGCTGACAGTGCAAGGCCTGCTTGGCGTTTTCTCTTTTTCTCTCTCTGTCCCTTCCCTGCTTGTGCTCTAAATAAATAAATAAATAAATAAACTTAAAAAAAAAGATAAGTGAGATTTCAAGTTGAGTGACTTTTATCAGTGACGTTTGCCGTAATACTCCTTTGGTTTTACATTCTGATCAAAAAGTTAGAAATTTTTGCTCAACTAGAACATGTAGGCACATAACTTTTTCTGAAAAAGGTGTTAGTGAAGTCACTTTATATAGAAATACAATACAAAAATCTATAATTCATGATTTCATATGAGGTATGTAAAAATTACAGCATGTATGGAAACGTGCACATATGTATATATGTACACTCACAAAATTATATATAAATTCATATGTGAATGCTTGTTATTTAATTCAATTCATAGCAAGGAGAAATAGAAGGACATTTACTAATATTGCTGAATGTTTACTTAGTCACTCTCAAATTTGTATTGACACAAGCATGATCAGACGCAATTATATAGAGATAAAATTCCATGGACTTACAATCAAAGTCCCTTTGATATGTGCATAAGAATAATTTAAGCAAAGAAAAGTGTTTTTAAACAATGATGTCAGATATCCTTTTAGAACAGAATTACCAATTTCAACACCATTAAAATAGGTCAGTGTTGGCTTTACAACTTCTTACAAGGTTATTAATTATTATAAAGGAAGTAACATTTTAAAATCATAACAAACATTTTTGTTGAGATCACAAAGGTTTTTTAAAAAATAGACCATTTTCAAAACCACTTACATCATCAGTGTGTGCTGCCTATGGGTGTTCTGGCCCCAGTGTAGTGATCACTGCAGCCAAGTACAGGATCACAGAAGATGGGATTGATGGGGGCTGGAGATTGTTTCCATAGTTCTTACTTGCCTTCCAGGGCTTCAGGAAACACACCTGTCAGAGTCATTGTTTGAAGAAAATATGATCATGTCTCTTCTCTCCTTAAAACTCTTTAATGGTTTTTAATTGTTTTATAATCTGAAGTCCCAAGATACCTTCAAAACTTCCAGCATGATCTGCAGCCTTCTTGCTCTACTTCTTGGCTTCCCTCACCGTATTTGAGCCACTGGGTTTTTCTGAGTTCCATCTTGGACCTTCATGCGTGTGCATTCCTCTGTCAGGAATGCATGTCTCTACTCCATGATTTCAAACTTAACTGTTTCCTTTTCTTTTCTTTTTTTTTTTTTTTTTTAAGTTTATTGGGGTGCCTGGGTGGCTCAGTCGGTTAAGCCTCCGACTTCGGCTCAGGTCATGATCTCACGGTTTGTGGGTTCGAGCCCCGTGTCGGTCTCTGTGCTGACAGCCAGCCTAAGCCTGGAGCCTGTTTCAGATTCTGTGCCTCCCTCTCTCTCTGACCCTCCCCTGCTCATGCTGTCTCTCTCTCTCAGAAATAAATAAAACATTAAAAAATTTTAAGTTTATTTATTTTGAGACAGATAGAATATGGGCAGAGGAGGGGCAGAGAAAGAGGGAAAGAAAGAATCCAAGCAGGCTCCATGATGTCAGTGCAGAGCTCAACGCAGGGCTCCATCTCACTACCTGTGAGATCATGACCTGAGTTGAAATTAAGAGTCAGATGCTAAACCAACTGAGCCACCCAGAAGCCCCAAACTTAACTATTCTTTCAAGTCTTAACTTGAATACTGTTTTCTCTCTAGAAATCCTCTACCGAATCCACAGTTTAGGCTGAAGTCTTCTGTAATATATTTTCATAGTATAGGACACTTCTCAGAAAGAACACTTTGGCACAATTGAAGTTGATTAGATATGTGTTTAGAAGTGATTGTGTAATGGCTATTTTCTGAGTCTAAAGCCCTTGCGGCACAGAGGCTCCTGTGTTCAGCCGGCTATTTAGTAGGAACACCTATTAGAAGGTGCTTGTGGATTAATTACCATGTGATAGTAGTTTCATGTAAAAGTGTTTGAAGATTCCGGGGTGTGATCTCACAGTTCATGAGCTTGAGCCCCACGTTGGGCTCCTCACTGGCAGTGCAGTGCTTGTTTGGGACTCTCTATCTCCCTATTTCTCTGCCTCTACCCCACTCACTCTCTGTCTCTCTCTCTCTCTCTCTCTCTCAAAATAAATAAATAATAATTTTTTAAAAACTTAAAAAGAAGTGTTTTAAGATTTTAAGCAGCTCGGGAAGCTTTTCTTTTGTAGACAAGCCCATTAAAGAATAATGAAGAAACATTTCCTTGTTTGACATGTGTATGGGGTCCTCTGTCATTTTAGTTCTTGCCTAATTTGTTACTGTTTTTAAGAGTGGTATCAAAGTGGGCGGTTGTATGTATGTATGTATTTCAGAAAAACACACATTTATTCAGCATCATGATCAGACTATTACAGTTAGCAATCAACAGCATGGGTACAAAAAAAAAATCTACATAAACCATTTGTTGGAATGCTTTACACTTTCCAAAGAACAGAAACTAAAATAACCTGTTATACAATTCTTCACAAATACAGTCTTTGAGGGGCGCCTGGGTGGCTTAGTTGGTTAAGCGTCTGACTTTCGCTTAGGTCATGATCTCACGGTTCGTGGGTTCGAGCCCCACATTGGGCTCTGTGCTGACTGCCAGCTCGGAGCCTGGAGCCTATTTCAGAGTCTATGTCTCCCTCTCTCTCTGACCCTCCCCTGCTCATGCTGTCTCTCTCTCTCTCTCTCTCCTAGAAATAAATAAAAAATATTAAAAAACAAATACAGTCTTTGAGGTTTTTGTCCATACACATGAGTATTGGCTAAAACATGTCTTCTTTGTAGCAGCTAGGCCCTGCCACCACTGTGCTTGGCTGATTTCACAAATCTGCTGTAACCTGTAGTTTCCCCGTCACTTCTCTGACTCTCCTCTCCTACTAAGCTTTGCTTCCTGCCAATAATTAAAACCTTCTGCCACTGCCATAGCTACTGCTGCTATTGGAACCACCATAGCCACCTTGGATTTGTGGTTTGGCAAAGTATTGGCCTCCATTGTAATAGGGGCCAAAGCTTCTGTTCCAAAATTTCCTCCTTTCATGGGTCCAAAATTTGAGGATGGATGGTTTTAATTGCCAAAATCATTATAGCTTCCACCACCCCCAAAGTTGCTCCCACTACCACCGCCAAAGCTGTCACCACCTCTTCCGTTGTTATAGCTGTCATAGCTGACACTCCCGTCTTAGCCATTGCTCTGGACTGCCATATGCTTTGCTTCCTCCAGAGTAACCGGGGCCACCTCGTCCATAAAGACCATCATTACCAAATCCATTATAACCATCCTCACTGACACCATATCCCCCACCACCTCGACTGCCACAAAAGCCACCACACCCACTGAAGTTTCCTCCACAACCAAAGTTGTCATTCCCACCAAAACCACCCCCGAAGTTTCCAGAACCACTTTGACCTCTGTCTGGAAGAAGAACTAGCCATCTCTTATTATATAGAGCCTTCCTTACTTCACAGTTGTGGACATTCAGAGCATGGTATTTTTGAATGACAATCTTGTCTACAGTGTGATGGTCATCAAATGTTACAAAAGGAAAGCCTCTCTTTTTGCCACTGCCTCTGTCATTCATAATTTCAATCACTTCAGTTTTCCCATACTGTTCGAAATAATCTCTTAGATAATGGTTCTTCAGTTTCTTCTTTAATGCCACTGACACAAATCTTTTTCACAGTTAAGAGGGCACCAGGTCTTTGAGAATCTTCTCCGTGACAGCCCTCTTTGGTTCCACAACTCTTCCATCCACCCTGCGTGGCCTTGCATTCATGGCTGCGTCCACCTCCTCCACAGGGGCATATGTCACAAAACCAAAGCCTCTGGAGTGCTTGGTGTTTAGACCTCACTACCACACAGCCTGTAAGTGTTCCCCATAGCTCAAAATGACTCCTCAGACTCTCATCGGTTGTTTCAAAGCTCATACCTACAATGAAAAACTTCCGCAGCTGTTCAGGCTCTTTGGGAGGCTCTGACTTAGACATGACGGTGGTGGGAGAGGAGACTTTAACGATGCACTCGGCTGCATCCACCGGCAGAAAGGAGTAATCTAAGGAACATATCGCTGGGCTGCTGTATTTATATACCATTGGTTCTCAACCAGGGTCATTTACTTCACAGGACATCTAGCAATGTCTGGAAAGGTTTGGGATTGGCACATTGAGGGGTGGTACTGTTATCTAGATAGAGATGCAGCTAAAATTCTACAACATATAGTGGAAGTACTCAAAGAATTATCCAGTACAAATGTCAATAGTGCCAAGGTTGAGAAACCCTAATATAGAGAATGGAACTCTGAATCATTCTGTCCTGGGTAAATATAGTTTGTATAGTTCAACCTGAAAGAATGTTATTTTAAGCTAATTAATTTATGTTTGGTACTCATATAGACATGAATGATATTCTTGTTTCATAATGTATATCTGGTTTATTTAGAGTTCAGTACAAATGGCTTTCTATACTAAACAATATCTTGCACATTCCTGACATTCATAAATCTTTGTTGAATTGAATTTTATTTGGCACATCATTCCAGCTTGTCAAGACCATTTTGTATCCAAAACCTAATGTCTAAATTAGATCTAACTTGCTAGTTTCATGTCAAGCACAAAGTTAATCAGTATGGCATCTATACCATTGATGAAATAGTGAATAAGACCATACATTAAAACAAAATTCTGGGAACACTGGGGTGGCTCAGTCGGTTGAACATCCGACTTCGGCTCAGGTTATGATCTCCCAGTTGGTGAGTTCAAGCCCCACATAGGGCTCTGTGCTGAGAGCTCAGAGCCTGGAGCCGATTTCAGATTCAGTGTCTCTCTCTCTCTTTCTGCCCCTCCCCCACTCATACTGTCTCTCTCTCTCTCTCAAAAATAAATAAACATTTAAAAAAATAAAATGAAATTCTGGAGATTCTGTTATGAAATATAAGCATTTTTAAAATTACCATTTCATCGTAGTGGTGTGTACTTTGCCCTGTGATTCCTGCTTTGTTTAAGTTTGGCATTCATTGATGAAAATAATGTGATTATACTTTCCAGAAGATTTTATAAATAGAAATCTGAAAAAAAAAGGATAATATTTTAGAGTAATTATAAAAAAATGAGTTAATACCTTAGATGTACTGAAATATTCCTACAGATTGATAAAAGAACATTAGGCCCTTTATAAAAAAATGGGTAAAGACCAAGGAAAAAATACACAAGAGAAAATCATTTTAAAACATTATTAACTTAAATAGTAATAGTCAACATTTATTGAACACTATTTTTCAGGCACTGGGCTAAGTAACATACATCTACTTTCTGACTTACTCTGAAGTATGTATTCTTTTTATCTATATTTGATGGGCTCATCAAGGTTAAGTAATTTGCCAAAGTCCCTTAGATATAAAGAAATATAAGAAAAAATATTCAAATATACTAATGGTTAGAGACTTGCAAATTAGGCAACCACATGATAGATTTTTGCATTGCAGGAGAGAGAAAATTAAAAATATGATAATATGCAATGCTGTAAATTTTGGAATAAACTATATATACACACATTGGTGGAAGTGAGGTGTTTAACTCAATGGAAATCAAATTGACAGTGTTTTTCAAGCATCATAAAAATATTTTTATGCTTTAACTTATAATCTGGCATACAACTTATCTTAAGGAAAAATACATTTTAAAATAACTACATATAAACTTGTTTATGTTTAAACTTATTATTTAGAATGTCAAAGTTGATTATCTAGAATCAATTGGAATAAATTGGACAAGAGCAGATTAATAAAATATTATGAGTATTATTAAGGCCTATTTTAATTTCAAAGATTAAATAGGAACCTAGAATCTTTTCTTTTATTATAATTTTGAGAAAAGGAAGACAGAAGCAAAATAAATTTATTATCAATTAATCAAAATATGCCTGCCTATAAGAAAATCCAGAAAGGAACTTGTAAGAAATGAAAACAGGTCTGAATTGTAGTGGCAGAACAATTAAATCAATGAAAACAAAGTTAGTGTGTGCTATTCAAATCTATGAGTATCAAAAATGAATTAATTAAAATAATGTATTCTTAGGTTGTCTTATAGAATCTGTTATCCATCCAGAATTGATTAATTTGACATCATGCTCCTTATATCAGGGTTTCTCAACCTCTGCACTATTGACATTTTGGATTGGATAATTATTTGTTGTTAGGGACTGTCCTGTATATTGTAAGGTGTTTAGAAGCATCACTGGCCTCTATAAACTTATGGGGGCCTTTATACCCCCATCTCACCATCCTCTATTATGAGAATCCAAAAATGCAAACTCTTGTTTTATAGAAGATTGTTTGGAAAACTGGTCACAAACATTCCTCTGTCTTTATCAGTGTGTTCTGTAGTGTGCCTGCAACTCTTCTCAGGTGGGCTCTATTTTTCTACCCTCTTTATCTGGACTGGCTTTGTGACTTCCTTTGGCTAGTACATTGAGCTAGTAATTAAGGGTCCGGCTCCAAACCCAGGCTTTGTAAGACCACACACATGCCGTTCTACATATTATTATAATTTTGCTCCCCTGCCTTTCATGTGAATAATTCCAAACGGGATGAGAGGAAGAAAGACAACACGGGCCAGAGTTGAGTTAGTTCAGAACTTCCAGCTGAGTTTCATATATATATCTGAGAGTTGCCTGAAAGATACCGATAGATGAGCCATAGCTAACCACAAACTATGAGATCCCACTCTTCAGCAGAACATCCCTGTTGAGTTTAGCCTAAATTCCCAAACCACGTATTGCAATCCAAATAGATAGCTGTTTTAAATAAGAAAATATTTCGGGCACCTGGGTGGCTCAGTCGGTTGAGCGTCCGACTTCAGCTCAGGTCATGATCTCACAGTTCCTGGGTTCGAGCCCTGCGTCAGGCTCTGTGCTGACAACTAGCTCAGAGCCTGGAGCCTCTTTTGGATTCTATAGCTCCCTCTCTCTCTGACTCTCCCCTGCTCATGCGCACTCTCTCTCTCTCTCTCTCTCTCTGTGAAATAAAGAAAAAAAAAACATTAAAAAATAAGTAAATATTTGAGTGCTTTGTTACCTAGTAATAGGTAACCACCTTATTGCATGATACTTAACTTTATACCTTCTGGAGAATGTGTATTAATGCCACACATCTGCAAAATAAAATTCTATGTCCTGTATACTGTTTACCTTTCTCCCCAAGATTACTCATTAATACTTAAGATTTCTAGTTGAAATCTACCTGGGTTTTCTACAGAATGTGTAATTTCCAATCAAGTAGTAGAGACTGCCACATCTTGTGGATTTTGACTACATAAATAGCTAGATTTACTCTAAGATATGATTTGTTTTTACTTGATTAGAACCAATTATGAGTTATTCAATTTGTTTTACACTTTTTTTGTCACTTAATGTATACTGCATGGGAGTAATGAAGTTGCAAAGAAAAACAAACTATTACTTTAAGATAAATATTTATAAGAAATAGGTTGAAACTGCTAGGATATTTTGTGAGAATAATTAGGTGTGCAGATTAATGAAGTAAAAATTATTATAATTGTATTCTAGCAGTAGGACACTGCTGTTGCTGGGGTTGTTTGTATTGAAGTCCCTGTATTGTGTAAACTTTCCACTCTTCTAACAACTTATATGATAATTATTCTGATGGAGTTTTTTAGTTTTAATCTCATCTCACACTGTGGTACTAACAATAATTTAATATAGGATCATATGTTATTCTATTTGGGCAATAGATACTGGGTTGTATTTAATGTATTTTTGAAGACATACTGAAAATCCTTACAGATATACAGATGTTAATATTTTTAGACTTAAAATCAGAACATTCAGGTTGCAGTTGAAAACTTTTACTACTGACATCTTTCAAACTTCTACATTTCTTGCAGTTTCCTTATTTGAAATTTAGACATTGTGATCAACTGATTGTAAAAGTGGCCTCAATTCTTCACCTTACACTTGTGTGTGGTCCTTACAATGTGACTTTACAGCTCCTTCCATCAAGAAGTGGAGTTTCGGGATGCCTTGGTGGCTCAGTGGGTGAAGTGTCTGACTCTTGATTTCGGTTCAAGTCGTGACCTCACTGTTCATGGAATCAAACCCCATGCTGGGCTCCATGCGGAACCTACTTGGGATTCTCTCTCCCTCACTCTCTGCCTCTCCCCTACTCGTGCATGTGCTCTCTCTTTCTCTCACAAAATAAATAAACTTAAAAAAATAGAGAAGTGGATTTCTTCTCCCACTTCGAATCTGAAGTGACATGTAACTTATTTTGACCACTAGAACATGGTGCACCAGGTCTGGAAGTAGGCCTTGAAACATAGTGCTTTGGCTCACTGTCCCGGACTTCTGCCTCTCCATGAAAACTAGCCTGGCCAATCCCATGGGTAGAAGGGAGACCACTTGAAACAGAGCCATTGAATCATCCATGTGAGGCCAAGCTAGACCAGCCAATCCCATCTGACCCACCGGCTGCTTGCAAATGGAAGCATGAGCAAACCCAGCTGAGATCAGCATTACCCAGAGCCGATGAGCAGAAGCACAGAGCTGATCTGTGGTCTCGAGGGCTCTAAGGAATCTTCCTGTTTCAAACTACTTTGTTTTGGAATGGTTTGCTAGGCAGCTCTGACAAACTATATTATATAAAATAATTTCCACAATTTGTATACCTTGTACTATTAATTGTGAAGCTTAAGTGGCATTATTTATATGAAAACACAAGCACATATGTTTGGCCTATATTATTTTATAAAACGATGCCATAACATTTTATAAATTAAATTGTAATGCATTTTCTAAATAAACCAATTGTATAAATTATTTTATACAGATAATATATTTTTTGTTTACCTAAATGTTAATTTTACTGATTATTTTAAACTAACCACACTAAAGGGACACACATTACAAAATCCATTTTATGGGGCCCCTGGGTGGCTTAGTCAGTTAAGCATCAACTCTTGATTTCTGCTCAGGTCATGATCTCATGGTTCATGAGTTCAAGCCCCACCACAATCCCACCTCGGGCTCTGCACTGATAGCATACAGCCTGCTTGGGATTCTCTCTTTCCCTCTCTCTTTTCCCCTCCCTGCTCTCTCTCTCTCTCTCAAAATAAATAAATAAACTTTAAAAAATCTATTTTATATGTGCGTAAAAGCATTGTTTCCTAAATTGTGTTTAATTTTTTTTAATGTTTATTTTTATTTTTGAAAGAGACAGAGAGACAGAGCACAAGTGGTGGGGGTAGGGGGGAAAGAGAGAGAGAGAGAGAGGGAGACACAGAATCCGAAGGAGGCTCCAGGCTCTGAGCTGTCAGCACAGAGCCTGATGCAGGGCTTGAACCCATGAACCGTGAGATCATGACCTGAACCTAAGTTGGATGCTTAACCAACTGAGCCACCCAGGTGCTCCAAAATTGTGTTTTTAATTTGAGAAAAAATCTTTGTTTTAAAATTATTTTAAAATAGGAAAAAGTTTAGGAGCACCTGGGTGGCTCAGTTAGTAAAGTGTCTGACTCTTGATTTCAGCTTAGGCCATGATATTATGGTTTTGAGAGCCCCACGTCAGGCTCCATGCTAACAAGTGAGGATCCTGCTTGGGATTCTCTCTTTCTCTCTCTCTCTCTCTGTCCCTCACCCACTCACACTCTATCCTCCCTCTCTCAAAATAAATAAATAAGCATTTAAAAAATAGAAAAAAAAATCCAGTGGAATGTGCTTTTTAGAACCTTTTAAAAATGTAATTAAAAATGTAATGTAATTAATCCAGATTGTCTGGATTACAGAGTATTTCAATATTTTTTAAAAATTAACTGTATAAATATTTAGTTATTTGAAACATCAAGTGAAAATTAAAATGGGGAAAATCATAGATCCTCAACAATGAATTAGAAAATCATGCTTGTTACTTGAATGGAATACTCACAAACAGTTTAAATCACTGTGAAATAGCATATTCTCTGATGGGACATGTTTACACTGTTGTGATAAAGATAGCTGTTACTGTAATTTTCTTCCCTGAAAGGGCACATATGGGAAAATAACATT